GGATTGTTATGCGCTCGATATGACTTTGTCTGTCACCGTTCGGAAACCCATAAAATCTTATCGGTCTTATAATTTTATCCACTACATAGGTATGGAACCAATAAGGGCAAATGTTGAGAAACCGGGCATTATGCGATTAATCCTAGGGAAGCCGGTTGTAAATTAAGCGTCTATCGGTTTATGGGATAAGCCCATCCATCTAATCCAACTATACATTTGTAACTTCTTAAGCAGTTAATTATTGGCTTTCTCCTGGCCGTAATAAACCTCTTTGGTATCTATTGGGAACATTAATATTGGGTCTGGAAACTAGACCGACACGCAAATGTTGTTAATCCTTACACTGACGTTTTAAACTGATGCTGATGAATTCTGATTTCAGTTTACTAATTCGCAAAGATCTCAGAGATTTATTCGAACAATTAGCAATATCTTATAGAAGCATGGCTGTGAATACTACTAAGATAAACGGAGTCAAATCGAAATCATCGGACGAACATGCGAGAAAACCCACCAAATTCGGTAAGTCCTTATTCCCTCTGATCAGCCGCAGCGAAAACAGCATTATTTGTGCCCCTTTTTGCGCCACTTTCTCTAAAGTTTTAATCAGCGGGAATTAATATTCCGGTCGCAACACAGCCCCCGTTGCCAAGCTCAAGCCTGCTCTTTGTTTTTGATTTCCATAAATCCACGAAGCTCATGCTTATTTAATCGGCCCCACTCACTTCTCTTCGGATTAGCTTCACTTATTGGCGCACTTTTCGGACTGTTCAGGGCTCCTGACGCGGAACAGCAGACAGGAAATTGAGGGCCAAGTGGTCAATATGCAGAAGAAGGTCTTCGACGCGATAGCAGCGGCCAGCATCTTCACTAACTGTGCAGGAATCGACACGAATAACTCGCAAGTTATCACGCTGTCGACGTTTACCAAGTTTCTGGAAACGAGGCAAATGGAGACGAAGACCGAGGAGGAAATCAAGGCGCTAATCCATGTGAGTTTAAGTTTGTTGCAAATTAGAGTCCATCGATTGCGCTCCTTTAATGGACTGAATTTAAGTAAAACTGCCGGGTTGCAGAGACACGAGCCCGATGCTACTCTAAGAGCGCAAGATTGCCTGTCCTTCGAAGGATTCGCCCGCTATCTAATGGACAAAGACAATTTCGCCTTTGTGCCTGAATGCGAAGTGCCAAACGAGGAGGAAATGAGACGTCCTTTTTCCACTTATTACATTGCTTCGTCCCACAACACGTACCTGACGGGGCATCAGCTGAAGGGCGAGTCTTCCATCGAGCTCTACAGCCAGGTAACTAATCTCTTTTCTCCAATGGCATCATTTTCCGAGTGCGTTTCTTCCAAGGTTCTGCTGTCTGGTTGTCGATGCGTTGAGCTGGACTGTTGGGACGGCGAAGATGGATACCCGATGATTTATCATGGACACACTTTCACCACCAAAATCCCCTTCACTTCGGTGGTGGAAACCATCCAGAAGAACGCGTTCGTCATCTCTCCTTACCCGGTTATACTTTCCATTGAAAATCACTGCTCGATGCAGCAGCAGACCAGAATGGCCCATATTTTCCAGGTAAATTCGTTGGCACGGAACATGGACAAACGCCGGAACTTTTTAAACATAAATATTTTTGTAGATCAGTTCTATATTGTTGAGGCGGATTCATTTTTTACAAACTTCTTTTTGGGTATTTCACCTCAACATTTTTTTAACAACGTTTAATAAAGGCGGTGTATCATACTTTCAGCGGTTATGGGAAGCAGATGCTCGCCTAAAAGGTTGAGAGCGGTTTACTTTTGAAGAATGAGCTCTAAAATGATCTAAAACTTCAAATAGCGCGAAGAGTGTTTTTTGGGCTTCATTGTGTGATGTTTAGGGTTTTCACTATTTATGTAAGATTCATATTTTGACGAAGCAACCGAGTAACACAAACGACCACATTTTTTATTGTGGTGCTGGAAGCAACTGATTTTTTTTTGTGTTGATGTACTAATCCTTACTTTGTAGTATTTTTTTACAAACTTCTTTTTGGGTATTTCGCCTCAAACATTTTTGTCTTTAAAAAAGACAGAATTTCCTCACGTTTTTATGATTATTGAAATTTAGAATTTCTTTTATAAATTGTTTTTCTTTGGAAAAATTAGATTTATTACAAATTATTGATGCTCTATCATATAGACTTTTTATGATAAATTTTTTAACCATTATCCGGTGATTTGAGTCGAAATTCAAATATCGGTAAGTATGAGAAGGTTTTCTATAGACCAAGGTTTCGAAATTGTCTACATTTTTTTGAATTAGTATATCGAGAAAATTTTATTTTTTTCACCAAATTCTTTTT